TAAGTAAATGAAATGTATGGGATTTAGGGGTGCTTAGTTCTCTTCTGGAGCATGTACTGATTCTTATTCTTCAGTATGTAGCACTCCATTATTCCCTACCTCAGGTGCTATTTTTTCTTGAGCAGCAACCAGGAGATGCAATTCTTGTTGAGCGGGCTGACAGATGTTACCAATTTCAGGGGGGTTTGTTACAAGAAATTTCTTAAAGCTCCTATTCCAAAAGTCAGGTGATTATATCAGTTTCAGCTTTCAAGGAAGCCTGAGGATTAGGTCTTGCACCTTTCTGCATCTGATCTGCCAGTGACAGGGCACGACATAGCAGTACTGGTCAGGCCTCTCCTCCCGCAAGAACTCCACAAAGCCATTTCACCTTTCAGAATGGCTGGGTCTGTAAAACCTGGCTACTTCTTAATAACCAAGTGTTTTGGGAGACGTAAAACTGATAAGCAATATACAGTGACAACAGCAACAAAACACTCACTCATCCATTCCACCAGCCCTAGGCTAGATAACAAGTTCACGCACAATAACTGCTTGCACATACACCCTACAACTACCATTGCAGGGTTTCCTTCCTGCCCTGGCAGACTATAAGGAAGCAGGAAAGTGTGCAGAGACACTCCAGGGCATGATTAGTTGGTTATATATTCTGCAGAAAGCATAACATACAGCAACCACTTGCCATAGCAACCTTAATGTATGGAGAATCAATTGCAGAAATAAACTGATTTTAATTACAGGAGTATATCTAATTAGCAAGTAAGTTATAGCTAGAAAATGTAAGAGAAAGGGAAAGCCTTTTTACAAAGGTGGGGTTAATTGAGAGCTTAATGGGCATTAGGCTTATATTCAGTTATTTAGTGTATGCTCATATTCAGTTATTTAGTGTGTCCTCAAGGGCAGCTCTGCAGCAACTGAAGGAAAGAAACAGGCAAATGGTCCCCAACTAGCTGCAGGTTTCTGATCCTAAAACCAATGTTATATTGGCAACTATGGTCACCAGGAATAAAATTTGTCTGGCCTAATATGTGAACCTGTGAAATGTCTGCGTCTGAGTTAGTTACGCTAGGCTCACTTCACAAGTATTGAAGAAACATAGACATCTTTAGCGGGAAACGCATCTCATCCCATAGTAGAAAACTAATTAATTTGCTCTGTAAAGAATACCAGGGTGACATACTCAGACATAAGACATTGAATTTCTACATCTAAAGTTAGGTCTGAGGTGATCTTGACCAGCTACAGAGAACCGATGCTCAAGGCTGTTTATTCATTTCATCTAAAATGCCACTGGATTTCTGTACTGAAAGAGACCTTGTTATAGCAACCAGAAGCTAAGATTTCCCTCTGCTGGACAAGTAATTTAACCACAGTTTTAGACTCTAGCCTAATGAATCCGTTTTCTCTGTATGTGGCACAGCTTCAACAAAAGGGCAAATTACAACCCCAGGTTGTAACTTAGTCTACCAAAGCTTGCTACCAAGGGGGAGAGGCAGGCTTTTTTTTTTGTGTTTTTTTTTTTCTCCCTAAAAGATGCGGGGATTAAATTAGAGTTTTCCATTTCCTATATGGAAGTTTATTTCATAAGAGGAGAATAATAGTAGTGGTGGCTTCAAACAGAAGGCAGAACCTCAATTAGGACTGTGAGAAGGGCACAGCTGCTTGCCTTCAGGAAAAGACAGCCTAAATAAATGAAGCCAGGAATTCTCTTTTCAGAGCTCCTTTATACTGTGAGTGCTAACTGCTGTCAAGCACCTAGTTTGGCAAAGCCTGGGCACGTGACTTCAGGAGCCCAGACCTAAGCCTTACTCTTCGGGTTTTAGTCCTCCTTTATAAAACAAGAAAAAAGTCCTTCTCTGCTTTTCAGGGTCACTGTTAAACAGATCAGAGATTCTCAGGGGATCAAATATCGAGGTAATATCACAGTGCAAGTATTTTAAGATTTTATCCTACATCCTTGTATCCTAATAATCTCATATTCTTGGCCTTTGAAAATGTCTATCTTTATAGGGAGAAGGAAGAGTATGAAAAGGAAAATGTCAAACCACACACACAAAAAAATCTTCAGCCTCTTACATGGAATATACAATAATTACTTCCAATCCTGGTATAAGGGTTAGTGGCAGTTGTTAAGCTTTTTATAATAAGAGCTTAAGAGGATGGGCATTATGTAATGCCCAGTTCCAAAAGTATCTTATGAGCTCCGACACCTCTTTTTATGTTTTTGAAAAAGGCTGAGCCTGAGTCCTCAGAGACTACTTTGGCATAGTTACCTTCAGAGGTGCCAGGAAATGTCTATCCATTTTTTCTTGCTAATTTGCCTTGAAAAACTTAATTTTGCTTTCTCTGTAGTTGTGATGGCTACAACGTGAAACAACTGGAACACTAGGAAGGGATGAAATAATAGCATTCTGCTGTCCCGAAACAGTATTCCCTGCAGGAATTAAACCATGGGCTAGACACCAAGTTCCAGTTTGCACCTCTTGCCAATTTGTCCCTGGAGTCTTTATTGAAATAAAAGGAAGTTGGACTAGTACTGACAGGGACGATCTAAACTTGAAGTAGCTTCTATATAGTAAAATAAAGACCACAAAGTATTTTTACAGTTGAAAGGCAGACACATGGAAGTCAGAGAATGCAGAACTGAGATGTTTTAAGAAACATCAGTTTGGCTTCATTTGTGTCTGCATCTTTTGCTACATGATCTGAGACTTCTTTTCATAGGATTCCATCAGTTAAAGAGAACAAAGGCTGGTACCTCATCTGTGTCGAGTTATTCAGTGTTTCTTCTACAAAACTGGGAATAGACAACTTTGAATTTTCAGTTTGTCTTAAACACCTGATTGTACCTTCCAGTTATTAAAAAAATGCATTCTCAGTATTTCAGTATATTGATTTATAACATTTATGAAGTTTACAGGTGAAAGCCCTGGAAAATAAAAATTCTGGAAGTTAATTTCCTCTCATTTTTTTCAAAGTATTATTTGAGAGCTTTCTCCTGTGAATGTGTCTGCTCAGTGCTTCAGCAAATCTAACCTCCTGATTATACACAGATCTAATGTTATTTTAGACCATTTTATGAAGCCCATCACAATCATTATCTTCACTGGCAGATTGGAAAACTTTACAGATACTAAATTTTCTCAGTGTCATCCAAAAACTGACAAAAAGGGGAATTCCATATTCTAAGTCCCAAGCTAATTCTCTGTCTACTGAATGTCATGAACTTACAATAAATATTTTTTTAACCCAGAATTCATGTAACATTTCATTTCACAATATGCTGGACTGGAAATGGCCCACTGTTTGTTTTTATACTTTGGAAGAATATTTCCCACACAGTGTAACATCTGGAAAGATTGGCACTCAGTTCAATGAATAGCCAATACTGTCAAAAAAGCAGGTGGAAGAAAATTTTAATGTGACTCTATGAAGACTATTTGAGCAGTGGTGCTGAAACAACAGTATTGACCTCAGGCTTTGAGAAGCTTGGTAGGTAGATAGACTGTTACAAGAGGTCATACCTGTGCTAAGACTTTAGGTATCACCAACAGACTGCTGTATTATTAAATACCGTTAAAGGGATGCATTCATGACTTCGAATACATTGCAGTGCAGAGGATGTCTCTATGTACAACATATTACAGTATGTTTCTGAAAGCCTCTTGCATACTAACAAAGACTACATTATATCCCATAGGCAAAGATGGCTAAAGTGCAAGGATTGTTTTTGTAGCTTAACTTTGTTCTATTACTGAATGTCTGAACTTAATTTCTCTGAGGTATTTCTTGTGTGAAGTACCAGTGTGGATTCCTACATTCCTGAAGACTGTTGGCCAGTGCCACCACTGAAACCAGCAGACTTCATACACTCCTCCATCTCAGAGGACTCTAAGGAGACTGAGGAAACACTGTGTGCATCATGTAGACTGACCAGAAAGTATGGAAAGCAGTAATAATTGGGGATGCATCAGAAGAAATAATGGACCACCAGAAGGGAAAGGGAAGAATGCTAATGACAGGTGAAGTTATACAAAAATGGAAAAGCACGAGCCCTTTGGGACATCCTTATTTGCCATTCCCACGTTTACAGATTATGGCGAAAGGAGGTTCCTGCAAGCATAGAATCCAAACTTCTGCGTAAGTATCACCACTTTCTGAGCACTGTGCATCTTTTTAAAAAGATGCTGTTTTGCTCGGACTGGAGCTTGACCACTGCATTTCTCTTTAAAGCAGTGGCACAGCTCTCCACTTGCAGACCGCAGCCTGGGCCCAAGCAAGTAGCTTGGTGCCATGCCCATTAGAGCACAGGATCTGGGCACAACAAAATCACCTCCCCCAAGCCTCGTCTTCCCCACACCCAGCCAGAAAGCGCCTCTGCACGGGACTTCAGTATACAGCACTGCAATGCTGGCCCTGGGCACCCATCCCACAGCCCTGCTGCGAGGCTCTCCGAGCCAGCCAGGCCTCCTTCCCGCCCACCTCACACCGGCAGCCCGCAGGGAACCAAGGGAGGGATAGGTGGCTCCCCTGTTAGCAAGAGAAGCGCTACAGCCAGGCGGCGAGGCCCTGAAGGCTGCGCATGGAAACAGCCCTCGCACTCCCCGCCGAACGCTCCCCCCACAGCAATGGCGGCCGCACGGACCCGCCTGACAGAAGACGACGGCTCATACTGCGCCTGCGCCTCCTGCCCCCGCCCTACGGATGGAACCATGTGCCGCGGAGGGGGCAACGTGACTCCCCCACCCCCACCCCCCGCGCGGCCCTTCAGCCACCGCTACTTGGTACAGCTCACTCCCATGTCTTCACCGCCTCCTGCCGCTCCGCGCATGCGCACCCGCGGGGG